AACACCAGAGCTGCAATTTTCATTCATGCAAAAGACAGTTTGGTGATTTTCTAAGCTGCTTTTATATGGTCAAATGATAACATACTTTTTTCCTAAGGACACCCTCATCTGGCATAGCGACATGCAAACCCACATGATCCTTTTGTCCGATTTGGGAAGGCATAATTAGTTGCAGCGCGCCCACTTCATCCACTCGGAGCGTTGAGGGTAAAGTGCAGTCGTGCCACATCGACTTCTCGCGAACTTGAATTCACTCGTCCCTAAAGTGTAAACAAGCCTGTGGTCACGCTGCAGGAGCACACTCGCATGCAAATTCAACAGTACTTAAACACACTTGCATGTATGCACTACAGTACAGAAGTTTGGGGTCAGCCAGACCAATTTCCACAAAAACACACTACTGTATTTTATACACCACAATATATACACTAGTCAGAAATTTTAGGATCACTAAGAAATGTTATTATTTTTTATGTGCCTATTATTTTGTATTTTTTCTGAGAAAATCAGTTTTTAACAACATTAGCAATATTCTGCTATTTTAAAAAAAAATAATAATAAAACAGGGCTTTCGTATATTGATGCTGTCTGGTGTAATCCTCACATCTCCAAAATCACGACCTGGGGCACTGCTTGAGTTAACATACACCACAATGTGAAAGTTAGTATTATATTTTACAGTCGCATAGACTGTTACAAACCAACATTGACACAACACTTCCCAAAAATGTCCATTATCTATTTAAATTTGCCCCCGAAATGTCTAATTTAATGAGCTGAATAAACTTGCTAATTTAATTTCATTGATTAGAATGAGCGGCCCGGTAGTCCAGTGGTTAGCACGTCGACTTCACAGTGCAAAGGTGCCGGGTTCGAATCCAGCTCCGGCCTCCCTGTGTGGAGTTTGCATGTTCTCCCCGGGCCTGCGTGGGTTTTCTCCGGGTACTCCGGTTTCCTCCCACATTCCAAAAACATGCATGGTAGGCTGATTGAACACTCTAAATTGTCCCTAGGTGTGAATGTGAGCGTGGATGGTTGTTCGTCTCTGTGTGCCCTGCGATTGGCTGGCAACCAATTCAGGGTGTCCCCCGCCTACTGCCCGAAGACGGCTGGGATAGGCTCCAGCACCCCCCGCGACCCTAGTGAGGATCAAGCGGTTCGGAAAATGAATGAATGAATGAATGATTAGAATGACTTTCAAGTCAAATGTCAGAATGAAACTAAACTAAATTGAACTTCATTACTTATGAAATCAAGGCAGGTGAGCAAATATTTTTGGCATAATGCATCAACGAAATTGAAAAGTAAATTTAAAACAACTGAAATACATTCTCAGCTGTTCAGAGTTTCTGTACTTTTTGCTCAACTTGCTGTTCAACCAAAGAGCAAAATTCACAACAAGTCTTTGATCCTTGACAATTTCTGACAGCTTCCACTTCTAAGCCTTTCCACAACTCTTTCAGTCTCTCTGTTGCAACCTGCTGATGACATTCTGTAATACTCTCAGCTTTGATCCATCAATCAGCCAACGAATCTTGTTCTTTAAACAGTCCTCTTCATCCTGCCGTTTACATTTTGAAACCATGAGACCGAGACTACACCAAACAACTGGTTAACAGTAACTTGCCATTGTGAGGCTTTAAACAGGATGTTGTCAGAGGGAAGCGGCCACTGAGCTTCGAGTGTTCACAGAGTGTTTTCACGGAGAGCAAAAACTCTGGGATCGCTTGCCTGCACTCCCATGGGAAGAGAAACAGGAATAGGGTGGGGCCCGGTTGCGGGGAACGTTCAAATAAACCGCTCAGTGAAACAAAATTTGTAACAAATACAAAAATTCTTTCCGGCCGGAAGTGTTTGACTGGAAGTCGCGCACATATTTGTTTCTCCATGATAGCCCTCGGGAAAAAGGTGGAGAAAAGGAAGGGTTTTCCATACAGCTCTTTTAAAGGATATACATATGAATCTAATGATTTAGTGATTGCTCACGAAGTCTGTGCACCCCAATTTTGAATAAATTGGGTTTCTAAATTAGAGATTAGGATTTCCTTGCTAAAAACATGGAGGGGAAATGAATTAAATTGTTCTTGGTTTAAATCTGATGTGTGGACTTCCACACAGACAATTTCAGAAATAATATTTTTTCAGGAATCATCTTAATAATTAATCAATAAAGACAAAAATATATAGCGGAGGTCATGTTCCTCATCTTGACATCATAAATTGGTCTCGACAGTGCTTCAAGACATTAAGACATGATTAATCAACAACCAATCCCACACAGCTGACCCACTTTAACTGTCACTTAATAAATCAAATCTCATGGCTTTCCCTACTCCCTGGCGGATATTGACGGAGATTGTGGCATGAAGTTAGAATCAATTTGAACAAAAGCTTGACATCAACAATTACTTGATTACTTTACCTGTCTCAAGAGAGTAAAATCTGAGATGCAAATATCTGTACATAATGGCTGAACTGTGGATCTACCGTCCCTCGTCGGGTCTCACCGCCTGAACCTGTATGGTCAGTTAAACAACGCTAGAAGACACCCAGGGTATAAAAACAATGACTGCAGGCTCATGCCAGGTAGGGGAATCTGAGGGCAGCGGATCTCAAAAAGCATGGCCCAAAAAAAAAAAATAAAAAAAGCCTTATGGAGAAGATCTCTGCCAAAAGACATCGTGACAGTCGAGAGCAGCGATCGATGTGGCAAAGCAGCGCCAAGGGAACGTCAGGATGTTGGAGTATGAGAAGATGGACGACTACTGAGGGCTGAGGCAAGAGCTCGAGGGTTTGGGGATGTTTAAATCCACATTGGAGGTCCGAGTGAGAATCCACGCACATAAATGACCACAACACGACTGTTGTTACAACCGTCATGTCTAAATCTAAGTACGGCAATCAAGGGCTTTTAAACGACTATAAATAACATATTGTTACAAAGTCCATTCAGGACAGCTTTTTCCATACATTGTGATGGAGGCTTCATTTTTTCCTTATGAGCTTTGGTAATAATGTGCAGTCGTATCAGCATTTATTCATCCTTTCTCGCACTCGCTCTGTGACGTCTTTCACGTATGCACACTCATTTCTCATCACATTACGCATTTGAATTGATATTTTAAAGGCAGATTTCATTTGGAAATGTCTCACGTATACACACACACACACACACACACACACACACACACACACACACACACACACACACTAATAACAGGAAATTGCTGGTAAGATGAAGGTTGCTTGCACACAGCGGCTGTCTCTGGCATTTTCATTACAGAGCAGCAATGCTTGAGCGGTAAGCAATTACAGTATACCCCTGCATGAGGGAAAGGAGAGCCTCAGTCGCCGATGCACTTCTCAGCTGTTTATTGAACACCAGGAGCTTCTGTAGGCCACAGCTGACACCCAGACACTCACACGTACACTCGCATGCCACCAGGACCCTCCTCTTAAGGGCACACGATTGTACACACATTGCAATACGTGGAGTATTTTCTATACATTTTATGATTGCAATTAGATTTTTTGTGGTCAAATACCGTATGTTGGCAATGTTTAAAAGGTGAATTTTAAAAAGCTTAAAAGAACAGCGCAGAGAGGATCGGGTGTTTTTTCACTCCCCCCAAAAAAAGAAAAAAAACCTGAAAAAGGACAGAAGCTTGCATTTTCAATTTGAACAATTCATTTTGGAGAAATACTAGAACTACTCTCAAACTGCACCTTTCTCATCAGCAATCTAGCCACAGCCCCCCTCCCTCTTCCTATGTCTTAGTGGGAATTGGAGCAGGAACTGGACATTCAAAGTCATTGTATCCTACTATACATACATTGCTAATACAGTTGTTCAACATAAACATCCACGGCAGTGAATGTTTACGAGCGCTCCGCATTGCTTACGCCTTCCAGGCAAAACCCAAAGTCAGGTCGGGCATTTGGCGCTATTTATTGTCAGTCACACATGCCAATACTTTGACATGAGAAAGAAAAGGTTGGGCCTCAGATCCAGGTGGAAATATCAAGAACCCTGAGGCCCAAACTTCACTTGACCACGTCTACTTCTTCCCGTGTCCTCGTTTGACAACATCAAGTTTGAGTTTCGTGCCCGAGAAAGCCTGCGTGGGCCCTGCGTGTGAGCGAGCATTAAAATGAATGTGTACAGTTTGTGTTCTTTAGCTGTGGATGGACAATCTTCTTGCAGTACTCCTAATGGTGCTATTACGGCAAGCAGCCGGGGTCCATTATTAATAGTAAATGACACAGTCTCTCTTGTAAAGGTCTTCATATTGATCTTCCCCCACAAACCCCCGCACCCTGAGACTGATCCTAATGATGATGCTTGTCCATGTGTTGTTCTCGATGGCGGCGTAATCAAGACCAGACGCATATTTACGACGGCCGAGTCACTCCAACAACAAGAGACCGCCACGAGCCAGACTTCTAGATTAAAGGGGGGTGTTACAGAAACGGCCGGCCTAATATTCCTGACAATGTTCTCCTCTGACGGCCGGCCAATAAAAAGTCTCCCGTCACTCCCTTAATGTCTGAGCTCAGGAGATAAATTCAGTAGGAGGTGGCTATCTATGATTCTGGTGACGTCCTGCTTTCCAAAGCGCCTTTGCAGAGATCAACGCCGATAGTTTTAATCAGTGCTCCTCACACGTGATGGAGCAGTGTGTTCCTGAAGTAAGACAATGACTTGCCAAACATTTGCAAACCATTTCAGTGAGAAAAATCTGTTGCACTTCCAAGTTGGTCATAGGGGAGATCTTTTTTTTTTTTTTAATCAATAGTGATTTTCTTTATTGTTGATGCAAAATGTGTGTAACTTAACTAACAAGAAAATTTGTGTTGCTGTGCTGTCAAAAGAAAAGGAAAGTCGACGTGACTCAAAAAATGTGTTTTACTTGTTGAAGTACAGACAATCAACAATCATTTCCTCGGGACAGCGAATAGTGACACACTTTAGTAGCAAAAAAAAAAAACGTGGATGTCGTTATAAATACAAAATATGTTCTGTCTCCCTTGGTGTTGACAGGGTTGGTTTTTAGTAACGGAAATCTACAAGAATCTGAGGGAAAATACAGGCACGGTCAAAGAAGCAAGCTGTTTTGTTGGCTCAAAATAATTTCTTCCGCTTCTGCTGGTTGTGACAGGGTTGTTGTTGGTTTTTTTTCCCCCTTTATGATTTGATAAAAAATATGGAGTGAAAATAATAGGGAAGAGTGATGACAAAAGTAGTCGAGGAATCAATCAAAAGATGGTTCCAAAAAAAAAAAAGCCTGTTCATCCTCCAATGGTAGGATTTTTGTTTTTGACCAGAAATCTCCAAAAATCTGAGGGAAAATATTGAGACTATGCTGACGAAGGAAACGTAAGAAGTTAGTTTTTTGTTGGCTAAAAAAAAAAAGGCCCATTTCTACTGTAGAGCCGTCTTATTTTTACCCAATGAGCCCGCAAATGTGAGAAAATCTGCAAAGAATGAGACTGCCATGGTGGCAAAAGAAGCTAAATTTTGGAGATGACATAACTATAATTGCAAGTATAGCTGAAGGAGGGCCATAATGATTCTATTCTGCGATGCCTCATTGAGCTGCTATGGTCCAGATAGTCTCATCAAGTCTGTCCGTAGAGATGAAGGCCCCGTTCACGTGTCTGAGTCCAAACTCCAATGTCTTGAATTTGCTTCTACTGTACTGACCCATTGGCTCCTTTCTACCCTTCATCAATTACACGAGCTCGAATGCGACAGTCAGCAGATAACGTCCGGAAGGGGAGACGACAGTTTAGTTCCTAACGAGTCAAGCGGAAATCTTGACTGGAGAACACGATGTGACAGTCGTTTCATTCTAACATTATTATACAGTATAGAACACTGTGCTTATTGTGTTTCACATCCAAAGTTCGCAATTTGATGAGGGTTACGAGTTGAGCTTTACACATTTGATGGCTGATTTTGGAAGAAAAGAAAAAAAAGATTTGTTGATAGGTGTGCTGTACTGGCGAAAGAAGTGGAAAGGGACAACGGGACAATTAATGGGAGAATGTCAGTTGCACGTTTCAGCAGGTCATGACTTTTTTGTTTCTGTACCACAGCCTTGATTATTTTGAACCACACATACAGAAGGTAGGCGGCTCGGTAGGCCAGTGGTTAGCGCGTCGACCTCACAGTGCAGAGGTACTGGGTTCAATTCCAGCTCCGGCCTCCCCGTGTGGAGTTTGCATGTTCTCCCCGGGCCTGCGTGGGTTTTCTCCAGGTACTCCGGTTTCCTCCCACATTCCAAAAACATGCACGGCAGGCTGATTGAACACTCGAAATCATAGGTGTCAAAATCAAGGCCCGGGGGCCAAATCTGGGCTGCCACTTCATTTTAGTGGCCCGCGAAAGCATTTCAAATATGTCAACGTTCATGATGCTTGCTAAAGTCTTAATCAAAATTTCATATTGAAATCCATAATAACATGGAGATATTGCAAGCATTTTCCGGTTTCCAAACCTCTTCTTACATTAATGTAAACTATGTTTAAACAAGTCATTATTCTTGACTTCTGATTTCAAAACTAGGTATCCATCTATTTGTTGCTCACTGTGTATGTAATATGTGGAGGTGATTAAATATTTATCTGGTTTCACAAAATTCACAGTCATAACGGCCCTCCAAGGGAAACCGTAACTACAATGTGTCCCGCGACAAAAATGAGTTTGACAACCCTGCTCCAAATTGTCCCGAGGTGTGAGTGTAAGCGCGGATGGTTGTTCGTCTCTGTGTGCCCTGCGATTGCCTGGCAACCGGTTCAGGGTGTCCCCTGCCTACCGCCCGAAGATAGCTGGGATAGGCTCCAGCACCCCCCGCGACCTTTGTGAGGATAAGCGGATCGGAAAATGGATGAATGAATGGATGGATGGATACACAGAAGGTACGCTGGCAAAAAAAGTAGCAAGCCTTCAAAAGCGGCCACATCTATTTTAAACTTGATTCTGACTGGATTATTTTTGGGACTCGGTTTTGTTGATCCTGATTGAAATGTGAAAAATCTCTGGAAAAAAGATAAGTTAGCAATCGTGACAAAAGAAGTGGTGGCAATTGGCAAGGCCCAAAAAAAACGTGTGGCTGAAGAGCTGGTTGCGACAGGTTCATTTTTTTGTACACTCAGATTAGATTTGTCAATTCGCAAACTTTCTTCAAGAGTTCTACTGGGACAGAGAACGTTGTCATAGGAACAAACATTCCTTTGAAGAGTCTATTCTGATTTACAGTTGTTTGTGACTGAATCATTTTTGTCAATCCTATTACTTTTGTTGAATTCCTCTACAAATATGTGAGGAGAAAAAAAGTGTCATGTTTTAATGCTGGGACGAGCCCATTGCAAAAAATTGTTGTAGAGTGAGTCGAGACAGACGTGTTCTTTTTTTGGCCCAGGCATGATTTTGATCATTTTGAGCAAAAGTTTGATAAATCTACACAAAATAAGAAAATTATGCCGGCAAAAGGAGGAACAAACTTTAAAGTTGGGGATGACGATGAGTGTTTCCTCATGACTCAGCATTACAGCATTTGCATTGTGAGGTGATGTGAGCTCACTTCATCTCTACATATCTTTAACTACTACATGGACATATTTTACTTTTCCAGATGGACTGAAGTGTGCCCAGACAGAGAGCAAAAGGTCAAAACGGTTTTCGACGTTCTGAGGGCCATCAGATTGGCCTGCTACTGTCCTCTGCTGGTGAGAAGCATCAACCGCAGATGCAGAGATGTTTGACAGAGTCATTTAAGAGTGGAGGTAGCTTCTGGCACTTAGAACACAGACTTAGTGAATGCTTCTAGCAAACTGTACCTCATCTTGAGCGCAAAAACTGAACACATTTCAAATCCAGAGATGCAGATTATTAAATGTAGTAATGGATCCCAATTGTTGGATATGGGGTTTGTTACGAAAGTATTTTCTATACATTTGATGCTTGCTTTTTTTTTTTTTTTTTTTTTTTTGGTGAGTGTTTAAATAAGGATACAATGTGTTTACTAAGTGTGCTGCTTAAAAAGGACGTTTTAATATGTTTGAGCGAAATCATTATTTTTCAGGAAATAAAAAAACAAGCCCAATCTTGTTTGAATTGCCGAACACCACATCGCACAAGTTGGTAATCTACTTCATACTGTTATTATTTATCATTGCACGCCAATATCAACATAAGACCACCCAAAAATCATGTTCGGAAACTTAATTTAATATGCAAATATAATCGTTACTTCATGACAGTGTCTTTGAACGTTACAAACACATCGCTGCACCAGCCGTCCACGTCAAATTCTTCGCTCACACAGACCCCCCAAACAGAGAAAGAGACTTTACTGTTCTACTTGACAGAAGCAAATGACTGTGGTTGAATCACCTTTACAACATACCATAAGGCAGCCTTCCTCAACTGGCGGACCGCGATCCACGACCGGACCGCCGACCTCCTCTGTCCGGACCCTCGGCAAATTGTATAAAATAATAAATTATAAAGTGATTTTTACGTTATACATTTTATATTTGTGGACTATAATCTGCGCATTACCGCGATCGCTTGTTAAAATTATCCGTTTTATTCTTTGCGTGCACTAACAGATGTATTGCAGAGGACGGCAGCAGCGCGACTGTGTGTTGTATAATGTTTGACTAACTGGAGACCCTGGCTGAGCAGGGCATGTCGGCGATAACGATGCGCTGATTGGCTCCTCTGAACTTAAGGTGTGCCCATACATGAGCGTCAGCACGCGTCTATCCCAACACACACGCATTCAAAATGGATGATTGTGTCGGGAAACAGACGCATGCGCGACGCCACAGTTGTGCTCACAGCTTCAGTCCAGGAGAGCTGCACACAGACAATTAGACAAGACGAATCGTGGGAGGTTTCGATCGTGTGCAGTTTTGCTCCCGTCTACCCGGGGATCTTTGCAGCTGTTTAACAGCAGAACACCGCAACATGGTAAATGAACATCACAATGGCGTCCTCAAATAATATTTGCATGCCTCAAACATTGCATTCACCTTTAGTGGAAGAACAGCACTGCACATTCCTGTGCTCCCTTGTGTCAGTTTTTAAAATGGTTCTTAACTCCTCTTCTGATATACTGTATTTTTCAGTGATTTCAGAGGGGATGTGAAAAGGGGAATTGTACAAATGAAAAGGATATTTTTGTTTTCATGTTTAGTATTTATTTTGGTAAAATGAGTATTTTGTTAAATTGTTTTGTTAAATTAAGGGAAAAAAGACAACTACTGTTTAACAAAGTTAAAGTAAAAATTGTCTTATTTCCCTAAAAGGGCTATTTCTATTATTAAGCAGGCACAACTTAACAAAATAAAAGAGTTCCTGTGCCTCAACACAATACCTCTCATTATTTGCTGTGTACTGGCAAAGTGAATAATTATTATTTTCATGCACCCCATTATTGGTTGGTTGTGAGGAGTGTTGATTTGTATAAGCTTGGCTTAACCATACTAAATGGGCATATAGCCCTGCTCCCCATGACCGCCGTGCATGGGACCGGACCTTGGTCTTATTAAAAAAAAAAAAAAAAAAGTGGACCTACAGCATTTCTAGTTGAGGACCACTGCCATAAGGGATGCGATAAATGAAAGGATGAGATGACTGAACTGCGCGTTAGAGGCGGAAATTAATTTGCATACATACTTACCTTCATGGCTCACCAGTTCCTTATTCACTGAAGCATTAGAGCGATTCAGACTGACTCAAATGTATATGATCAAACATTTCATTCGTTATTGTCTCAAAAAAAAAAAGAAAAAAAAAACATCCAGACTTTCAATCTTGAGGCGACATAACACTGCACGGCTCGCACAGAGTGAAGGAAGATAGGATGCAACACATCTAAGACAATTCAAGAGAGTTAATAGGTTTGTCCTCCAACCGTTTCCCACACTTTAGATGGGTAAATAATGCGCAAAAATAACAGATAATGTGGGGACAACCCAATAGTATTGATTCGTGAAAAAAAATATGAAATTGACCATATTTGGAATTCAGCGACTGCACGTGTGTATGAAAGACATTAAATTAAACCATGTTAAATTTCAGAATTCAAATTAGACACTCAATATAAGATGATACAATGAGACAAAGACGAATGACCGCCTTAGTTTCCTTGTCCTTTTCTGCGTATTTTACATTCACTCCCATGGTGACTCCATCGCCACCTCCAAAGCACATGGCGGTCATCCCAACAGCGTTGACACTTGCGCTGACCCAATTCTCTCACGTGGACCAG